TATAATGTATGCTATACGAAGTTATTACGGGGGCGGGGCAGATTGTAGCCCCGCCCAGCACACGCCCCCGGCCTCGACACCCCCGCTGGGGGCGGAGCTTGGTAGCTCGGCTCCGCCCCGCTCGCGCCTGCGTCACAGAGGGAAGCAGGCCACGCCCACAACGCCCATCAAGCTCGAAGTTCCGCCCTTCGCAGACAAATACACGGCGTAATCCCTGTGGCCACGCCCCTTGGGGGCGGGCCGCGCGTATTTTCGTCGCAGTGAGTCACGGCTTTGGAACGTGCGGCGTAGCTCCGCCCCGGGGCGTGGCCACCATATGCCCCCGCCCCGTCCGCCCAGACTTCTTTTTCTTTCGCATTCTTGTTAGACACCGGGAGAGACTGGGAGTTCAGCTGGTTTCCTGGCGCAAGGTGCCAGGGTCTCGCTGTGCGACCTTGGGCAAGCGTCCCCGCTCTCTGGATCTTTGTTTCCACTAATAAAATGTGAGGACGTGGGACAGTTGCTCTAGCCCTGCTTTCTCTGACCTGTTGGGACCATGACCTCTCTGATTTGAGGTCACCCGCCCGGGGTCAGCCCTCCCTCCCCATCTTTGGCTGCAGTGTCCTGAGGCACGCACTCCCCACACAAGTCACGTAGCCTCTCTGACCCGCAGTTTCCTCATCTGTAGAACAAGCCTGGTGACCCAATCTTCAGGGTACAGTCGAGGATCTTTGCACACTCTTCTGTCCCCCACTCCCAAACCCCGCCTCCAGGGGAAGGGGAAGCGAGACAAACCCCTAGCGACAGCGAAGGGTGTCTGTGGAGCTGGGACCTGAGAGGAAGCCACAATAGAACCCCAGAGGACAGAGATAATGGGCCTCTCTGTCGGCCCAGCTGTCCCCGTCAACCTAACAGAAGCAGCTGACCCAGGGACTGCCAGGAGCAGGGCAGCTGGGATCCCGTGTGGCTCTGGGAGGGTGTCGTGTGACAGGGTGGGGCACTATGAAGAGAAAGGATACAGATGTTTGAAGAGTGCCCTCCATGCTCCTGCCACTTGATTGCATGTTGGGATTTGATTTTCACAGCCGAATCCTATGAGGGGTGCCCTCATCACCTCAATTGTATCATGAGGTAACTGAGATTCAAGCTGGATTAAATCCAGATTTAATCCACTGCCAGCAGCCCAGTAGCCTTGAGCAAGTTGCTTCAGCTCTCTGTTCCTCCATTTCTGCATGTGAAAATGAGGTGATGACTGTCCACCTACCACATGGGGAAGTTGAAAAAATCAAGAGATAGTAATGTTGATTATTGTTTAGGGATTATGTGCTAGGTTCAACTCTAAAAGCTTTATGTTCATTGAATTCTTATAACAACTCTAGGAGGCAAACTATGGTTATCCCCATTTTATAGATGAAGAAACTGAGGCACAGAATGGGGAGGTAACTTTCCCAAAGGTCAGGGATGTGGACAGATGTAATCTATCACACAGAAGGAAAGAAGTAATATTTAATAACACAAGCGAGAAAGTGCATGCAGTGGCCCTGTGAGAGGCTGACTTCATCTCAGGGAACTTGCTCTGCAGTTTGGGAAGCCACACGTATGAGCCTCTGTTTGGGAGAACAAGGGTGTGGGGCAGTCTGGACCTGGAAGCTGAGGCCAAAGAGAGCAGGATTGGTCTGGGTAAGAGGGTTTTTAAAGTTGTGTCCTGGTGGCTAAGGAAGGAGATAGTCTGGGGAACCCTGGTGACTTGGGAACACCTTCAAAATACCATGCCAGCCTGTACCATCTACCCACCTTATTTCACATGGGAGAAGTAAACAGTGTTACTCAAGCATTGTGCTTAGGGGCCTCTTTGTTACAGCAGCCTACCGTGTCTGCTCACTACGACACTGTGCTGGGACGCAGCTGTGTACACCGCAGACGAGAGCTATCGTCAAGCTCACAGTTCGGTGGGAGAGACAAACATTAAACTAGGAAACAAAATCATAATTACAAAGTGTGGTAAGTGCTGTGAAAGGCAGAACCTGAGACTGCAAAAGAAAATGAAGGGCCTGATTTAGACAGTGGTCAGAGAAAGCCCCTTTGAAGAGATGAATTTTATTTTCACTTTTAACCATGTACATCTTATTTCAAAACATCATCATGATAAAATAAGACACTGACTATTAACAATGTGTGCTTTTATTTTCCCCCTTTCCTGCAATCTTGAAATATATTTCAACTTAAAACGAATAATAAACTCCCAAAATATGACACTCATTTTGAGAAATGCAGGCATACAAAGGACAATATTACCCGCAGAAATGCACCAAAGATGGGCCGGCCCGGTGGCGCACTGCTACAGTGCGCCGCTTGGGAAGCGCAGCGGCGCTCCCGCCGAGGGTTCGGATCCCACATACAGACCGGCCACTCACTGGCTGAGCGAGGTGCGGGGGCAACACCGAGGGTTGCGATCCCGTTGCCGGTCCCGGCCCAGTACGGGCGCGACACTGAGGGTTGCGATCTGTTGCCGGTCACAAAAAAAGAGACAAAAAGGAAAAAAAAAGAAAAAAGAAAAGAAATGCACCAAAGATGAATAGTAATGGGCACAGATCCAATATTTCAATATTAATTAATATTAATTAGATTGATTCATCCTATTACAGGATGTAACTAAAACCATGCCCTTTAAATTCAAGTGAGCACCTCCATTTCCATACATGTGATTTTATTTTATTTTATTTTTTTTTTCCTTTTTGTCTTTTTTACTGACCGGTACGGGATCGCAACCCTCGGTGTTGCGCCCACGCCACACTCAGCCAGTGAGCGGGAACTGGTCACCACATGGGATCCGAACCCTCAGCGGGAGCGCCGCCGCACTCCCAAGCGGCGCACCCTCCAGTGCGCCACCAGGCCGGCCCTATACATGTGATTTTATACATTTAACACAACTGGCAACAATAACAATGTTAGCTAGTATCTGTTAAACCCTTAATGAGTGCCAAGCACTGCTAAATATGTAGCATCTGTTTTATTTGTTTGTTTTTATGGATGAAGAGATAATTTTTTAAACAAGCAAAGGATAAGGCAAGTTGTATTCAAAGAGCAGAAAAAGGAGTATCCATAGTATTCCCAGCACGATGGGAAACTCTACGTACCAGGAGGCCCCCAGGAAAGAGGGGTCCCACTCAACAGTTTACTGAAAAGAGTTTAATGAAAGGATGATTTACCCCTGTGTGGGTGGGCTGAG